CTGTCGTGCGTCGTCTGACGAATCCGACGTATGTTACCTCTGCCATTTCGGCGACATGTTTTCCGAAAACTCGTCCAAACGCGTAACAATAATATTTATAATAATAATAATTAATTCATGACATGGCAATGCCATAAAATAATAACCATAAAATAATATATACATTATACAGGGTGATTTGTCGAAGACTCTCGCCTCACTTTTTTTTCTCCAGTAAAATACAGTAGTTCCAAATCAGATTTTTGATATTTTAAATATACACAATGACCGTAATATTTTCGAATCGTTGAGATTTTTGTGCTATTTAATGAGTGCCCTGTGTAAATGAAATCTTCTTTTTTTCAAATAGTAACCCCGTTCTACTGTAAATTACGTAATTGATCATTTTTTTGAAAGTGTTGTTATACCAAATTCGAAATTTGAACGAGTACCTACCTAGTTTCCCTGTCCCTAAAAAAATTATTCAAAGAATAATAAACCCTAAAAACGTTTTTATTTCTTTGATATCTTAATAAGTGCCAATATTGGACCATTTTTACAAATCACAATATATGCGTTGATATACCTGTTAATAATATTACCTAATTACTAACATTTTCAAATTGTCTGCAAAGTAGTTTTTAAGAATTTGGCAATATAATGATCTCTTATTATAATTATAAAAAGGGTTCCAAAAATCAGAATATTCTAATAAATTCATTATTAAGAGGAAAAGAAAAAAATAGGGGTGAGCATGCTTGGAGCGAATCACCCTGTATACGTGTGTGCACAAAATATATTATTATAACACATAATATTTATGTACGACGATAGAATCCGCGTCTGTCACGGCTAGCTGGATGACTGGCGTGCGCGTCTAACAAAATATAATGCATATTATAATAATATATGACGACGTATTAGACGAATCACGACGACAATGTGCCAAACTTTGCAGTAGTTTTCTCCGTACGTTGTATACATATACTGCTTGGAGTTTTATATACAACCAAACTTTGCCGGAGACGTTAAGTTTTTTGACGTACAATCGCCGAAATTATCTAAATGTTCTTCTCAAATATTTCACGAACAACTATTTTCACGACGCGTTTAATCTTCCAGACGGGCGTAAACTCTTCGCGTGTGTCAGTGTGTGTAACGTGTGCGCACTCCGACGTGTACGCCGCTCGTTAGTATTTTCTGCTTTTGTCAAGAAGACGTATCGTATGTATATATATATATATATGTATGTACATGTGTATAGTAAATATATGTACACGTATGCGGCGGCGACGACGAGCGTGACCTTGAAAAGTAATAAAATAAAAGCGTCCGCCAACTTATACAGTCGTAGGGGTAGGTACGTTACGTTCCGCCGATGAGTTTTAAAACTCCAGAGTCACGAGTATAAAACACGGGCTTAAGTCACGGTTAGCTGCAGACCGAGAACGAAAGAGAAAAAAAACCTAGAGTGGCGCGTGATGCGCTATAAATATTTAAAAAAAATAAATATATGTCCCGAGAAAGATATAAACATATTGATATAAATGTTTCGCATCTCTTCCCTGCCAACACCGCGAGACCTAGTCAATTATTCAAGAGCATAATATCCAGCTCATAAACGCGCACCTGACGTCGTTCTACTTTTATTTTCTTCTTGGCTGCAGACTTACATCTATAATAAGATGACGTGTGATTGTAGTATCGTAGTTACATACAACTACACGTTTTGGTTGATAAGGGCACAAAGTATACAAATATTACAATAAACAAGCGTATACACATGTCTATAAATCGATGTATCTATGCACTACTATACCTATTAGTAAATCGAAGACAAAATGTGTGTGTGCGCAAGGGATGACACAACCAAGTTTTTCTAAATCTATATAAATGTACACGCCATTATAAAAATAAGACGTTATTTTATGCTCCCACAACGTTTCGTTGGAATCGAGAAAACTAATATTGGCACCATGGCGCTTTTCCAAGGTGTATTCAGGAGTTCGGAACTCTGCGGTTGCAACCATTTCCAGTACATATAATACTGTTGTAATGACGTACCTATATATTCTGAGCAACAGTCACAAGTAGATACGAGTGCGGAAAAAATGTACACTTGTGCAGAGGGCTGTTTGGTTTGGTCGTGTTCAACTTTTTTGAAACCGAAAACTTGGTATCAAAAATGTAGATCTCATATTATTAAAGTATCTGTGCAGATTAAAGACTGGCAATCAAAGTAAAACCAAAACTATGGCATAGCTTTGATACTAAACATTCTGAGTAACAATCACACGACTTATGATTGCGAGTAGAAGGAGTGACAACTGATACGGGGTAAGTTCATGGGCATTAAATCTGTGCAGGATCTGCTAGAACATATATTACTGTATAATTAAGGATGGGTTCTAGAACACCTCGAACTTTAAGAAATTTGAACAGTTTGAAGTTTGAGAAATATGTAAGTTCGAATTCAAACTTGATCATCTAGAATAGTCCGTATAGTTCGAAGAAGCATCAAGTTTGAAAAAAAAATTCTGTTTGAGTTCGGATTCGAGTTCACGAAATCATAGGTTCGACCCATCCCTTATTAAAATATAATACGCATGAAAACCTGTTGGAAAAACCAAACTTGATAAGAACGGTGCAGGGAATTCGAAAGTGAAAACGGGAATATACTCGTATGTTCGAAGAAAACGTAGATGGAGCAACATCGTTGTGCCTCAGTGTCGTATTCTATACGTCAGAACCTGGGTGGGACATGGTGTCGTATGTCAATAAACGTGGTATACAATGGTTACGTTTTCTTGTTTGATTTCAAACCGCAAGAAAACATAATCTTGATTATTCCTTTATTTATTTCCGCACCGGTATTTATAGACACATATTGTTATGAACATCTATAAGAATTTAATGGAATCAGAGATTCGCCACTTTATTATATGGTGTTTCAGTTGGCGCAAAAGTCTAGCAAACTCAAATCCGTCTTTTTCAATAAATTCCCAGTAAACTTTTTCAGACCTTCTGCATAAGTATGCACTTTGTACATTATTATTCAATATTTGGATTTAATGTATTGAGTTATTGAAAGCAGGCGTATACGTTTGTTACAAATATAAACAACGAACAAACATTTTTACCACACAAGCACAATATTATATACCAATATACACATAATGGTTTAAAGTGTTTACTTAACCTTCTTGTACTTTAGTTGTTCACAAATGTATGAACAAGACTTACGTTTAACAACAAAATGTCCTACAGCGAATTTAATGCATTTTAGTCACGTTTTTCAATTATCCATTCAGCTGCTTGTGAGTCAGTGTGTGTGTGTGTATCTCTGGGTGTGTATGTGTGTGCGTGTGTGTGTAGTATATGTATATTGTATACTTATTATTATAATATACATGCATATATATATATTGAAACGCGCTCGAAATACTAAAACAATAGTTAGTTAAATATGAAAGATTTTGATTGCTTTTTATACATATAAATGTATATTTTATTAATTGTGAACGCATTTACTACTGCCCATAAATATTTAATGCTCAATATCCAAAAGAAAAACTCATTTTTTTTTTTGTGTAAATTATTATAATCTGTATTGTTCATTGTATAATGATAGTACATTAATATTAGAATTGTACCATGATATTTGTAGAAAACACTTCCTCCCTATTATGCTGTGTTATCTAATACATTCAGAGAATAAATATATTTTAGTTTTCATGATTGCGAGATTTAGTATAATAAATGTGTTATTTTAGATAAAATGTTAAGAGGACGCCACACCCGCATGTGTTGTCTCCGTCTTATAAACGCACAACATAGCAAAAACTGTTTTGCGCAAAACAGAACTACTCAAGTTGTAGTTCAAGCTAAGCAACCAAATTTTCATCCTATTAAGAAGAGAACATTCACTGTGCAAATTCGTTTTTTTTTCGATATCACAAATACAAAAAAAGTTATTCAAGTTTGAAATAGTGAATTTTTAAACAATAAGAACTTTTCTTGTACATATTCGTGACATCGAAAAAATAAAAACGATGTTGCACAGTAAATGTTCTCTTATTTACAGTGTGAAAATTAGGTTGCTTAGCTTGAACTATCACTTGAGTGATTCTATTCCGATCAAAACAGTTTTGCTGTGCTGCACTTTTGTAAGACTGAGATATCACATGCGGGTGTGGCGTCCTCTCAAGAAAAATCTAAACTTGAAATATATTTAAATACTTATAAGTTGTATTCGTATATAGTAACTTATAAGTGGTCCCGTATGTCATTACCGTTTATAGTTGTTGTCTAATTTATGAATTTATATTATACAACCGTTTAACGTAGGAAAAAATCGAGAAGCCTACAATTATTAGATAACTGATAAGTAACAAAATGTTTTTCATAAGATGGAGAAAACTTTTCCAGTGAAGTATAACTTTTATTCTTTCGATTGAATCAAGTCTAAAAAATATAAAAATAACTGGTTTTAAAATAATAATAACTTTCTTTGTAAAAGTGATATCGAAAAAATATAAAACATAATCCATGGTCATAGTTCTACTTTTACGGTTAAAATTTAGATTTTATGGACTAGGAGTAATAACTGGATGGTCCTCACCCGAGTGAAACGTCAAACAGTTTGTGAACATGTGGGCGCGGGCGCCCTGCTTGTATCGAATATTGTGTGTATGTGTTTGTATTAAAAAAAAACTCAAACTTATGGGTTTCCACTGAATACAAAAACATTTGTTTTCCAGACACTTTTTTGTTATGATGGTCTAATATTATTATGATAATAAAATACCACGGGTGTCGTATTAATAAAGCTATAAGCTTGTGTGTGTTTTGCTGATCCAACTATATGAAGTTTAGGCTGAAACTGCATTTTAACGCAATTTAAGTACACATCAGGATCATTATTAAATACTAATTTATTTATTGCTATACCCTCTAACCTTATTATAACAATATATATCAATCGTAACTGAATAATAATCTCGTTGTATGAATTTCCACAGTGCCGTCTGCTTCGATTTCCGGTGGTCCGGACATTCACGTGAACGAAGGGAGCACTATTAATCTGACGTGCATCGTGAAGTTCAGCCCTGAGCCTCCGTCTTACATCTTCTGGTACCATTACGACGAGGTATGTAAATTATGAGATTACATATATAGTTCTTAAACGCTAGAATCAGCTGACATAATGTAATATAAAATGACTATATAACCGTCAAAATAGTTCTGACATTATTGATGAGATGAGCGAAGAATGTATTATTGCTATCACGATGATGTATGTTTTATTTGTATTTCTTTAGTGTCTGCTGAGACATATTTTTAGTAAAAAAAATGCTCAGATCATCCACTTGTATGCAAAAATAGGAGCTTTCTAGTGGTAAATTGGATTTTGTTGGTTTTTTAGGGGTAATAAAAAAAATATAGTAATTTTGAAAATAGTCCAAATTTATAAATTTTTTGAGAACATTTGTTAAAATTTTAATGTTCTTTGGACTCAAATACAACACTTTTTATACACTTTCAATGATGAGGTATACTCGATGCAGCAGAACGAATAACTCAAAGAATTTTTCTGTTTAGAATATAATGTATTCTGATAATATTGTAATAACAATCATTATTCGAGAACGCGTAACTACCACACAATAATATAATAGACAAGTAAACAATAGTAATAATTATATATTATCAAAGAACTCGGGAATAAGACGTCCCTACACTACCTATTCCCAGAGAGTAGATTTCATGTAATAGTATACGCATTAAACTCGTGTATTGGTAATATTATATATATATATATAATATATATATATATATATATATATATGCAAACGTCGAGGCCAACTTTGGCCAAAAGACAAACTGAATTGCCTCCTTACTGAGTTTTCACCTCACCTTCACCCCCACTACAAACACACGCAAGTGTGCACGTATACTCTCCCTGTGAACTGCTTCTAATTTCGAGGTTAAGTCTAGCTCAAAATGCAAATATATTTCGACCATCTCGCTCCCACGCCCACCCACCCCCTGCCCTGAAATACAAACACTTTATTATCATACGGTATGATATATGTAAGCAAAACAACAATAAGGTTGGTTTGGTTAAGTATGAGTAAAGGGTACTTGAGTTTTCGAATTCATATTAAACGATATTATCATCTATACATAATTCTTGTCTCGGTCGTGCAAGTATAATAATAACTGTGCAGGCGTACCTATATCATTACACGTTTACCGTGATTTAACAAAACGTTGGTATGGTTCTACGATTTTTTTTTTTTTTAATCCTTAAATCACCCGTTTCATTTATAAGTTTATAACAATAACAGTATACTCCAAATAATAGAGCTATTAATAAAGAGAAACAGATTCATTGCATATGGATTAACTGGAATATTATAATAGTCGTACAAAGAAGCACTTAAAGCGACCTTCGTTGCTCATCGTACTTCAAACATCACCACATTTTCTAATCATCTCTACTCTGCAGGTCTCAGGTATAAATGGCGAAATAAATTCAAATACAATAAACAAAATATGGCACTAATGGGTACTGGTAAAATAATCTATTAGTACTGAACTCGTCAGGATAAAAGAACAATATAAACCTATGCATGACAAAACCTCAGGCTCAGCGGAAAAGAAGGAACGGCGATTAACCGACTTCGAACAGGTCACAATCTCCTAAAAGTCCTAATTCACCTGGTTATTTCATTACCAAAAACGAATCTCCAACATGACGTGATGACGAATGCTTTGTAATTCTTATAATAAAGCACATATTTACAGAACGTCAGAAATTTAAAATTTAATGAAATCGATTCAACGTCTTCGAGCAGATTAGTCAAGTATTACGAACCCATCATTAAGACATTAAAAACTTAATTTAATTTCTAAAATAATCTTAATCATATAATTGAATATAATGTCTCATGATATAAGCTTTGCACTTCCGAGATACTAATGGCCATCTTGCTGCCGATATGCGTGTTTATCATAAATAAATAATATTAAAATAACAATATGCCAACATACGATTGGTATGAACCGTTCTTGAGTTTTCGAACACTCGTAATATTAAGCGCCATTAAATTCATTCGCATTATCGTCACGATCTCGCGAGTAAGGCGTATAATAAGTAATGACTGTGCAGGCGTTGTACCTTTATTGTGTCTCCTTCGATTTAATAACAATATAATAATATGGTTTTTACGATCCTTTTAATCCAATAATCGTCCGTTGCACTTATAAATATGTGTGTACACAGACATATTATAGTAACCGCAAGGTCGTTCGACGTATAAAAATTGTGCGGTGTAGACTGTGGTTAAATAAAAACGTATGATAACGCTAAGGGCGTTAGCGAGAGGGAAAAATGCGATTGCTGGTAATTATTATAATACGTTTATATTGCACAATATTCTACGTACACAAGAGCCATTTCGAAAGTCTGCTCGTTGTGTGTGAGTGTGGGGTGGTTCCTCGAGCTTAAGCTCTGGATTATTGTTGGAATGGGAACAAAAAATAAAAGTTTTAGGATTTTAATTATTCTCCTCGGTGGGGTATCGCATCCCATATATTATTATAATATTCAAATAAGTAAGCGTAATACGTACGGTGCAACAATATCATATTAGGATTATGCTTTAATTTTCGTAATTAATGAACACGTGAAAAATATACCCACCTCTATAATAGCTGTATATAGATATAGATTGGCGTTACTCGCCATGTTTTTGGGTATATACCTATATAGTTATATGGATGCGCACGCTTACCTGAACGGTAATAAATAATAGCAGCGTGTAGTTAATTTTTAATTGCAGAGTATAACATTTCTTTAAGACCTTAATGATAATAAAATACGAGGCACGATGTCCGAAAGCGACCAAAGTTGTTAAATAATTATTATTAGTGTGCTCTCGAAAGTTACTATGTGTATACAATTTAAAATTGATAACATGTGCTCGTCATGAAAATCTAAAATAAGCACTCATAGTTGGTGCAAAAAAAATGCATATTTTTAATGAAGTATAGTTATACATAATGGTATAAAGATATTATATAATAGTTTATAGTTAGAACGTTATCATTAAAAATAAAAATACTTGTAGTATATTAAATATATTTAATTATTAGAATACATACCCATACAATATAAGTGCGAAATATGGTGGAAAGCCGAAACTGGTTGGATATAAAAAATGATACGTTGTAGTTTTCGTGGCGTGTATCATCGTCAAGGCCATAACAAGCTAGGTATTATCTAAAAGTTTTGTTATAGACAAAATACCTGTAGCTCAAAAGTTGGCTTTTAGCTATTTTGCACTGATTTTTAAAATAATTAAATATTTACGTTGAACAATAAATTGAGTTCAAAATATATTGAAGATGATAAAAAAAGAGAAATATTTTTTAAAAAATTGAATATTCTCAAAAAATTAAAAATTAAAAAATATGCAAAAATATGCATTTTAATTGCTTTTCGTTTTTAATTTTTCATTGTATTTAATGAATATTTTCTAGCTAGGTCTGCTATAAATCAAGAGTATAGTATAATAATATAGAAAAATATGCAACTCCTACAACTTCCGAACAGCCCTAATAACAATTAATAAAATGTGAAGTGTTTTCGAGTTAAATTATATTATTATCGCATTTAAAAGCAGGCCGCTTTCTAGCACTACTCCAATATATTATAATTATATAGGTAATATCGTTTACGGGATCTTCAGCCCTATTGTGCAGCAACGCCATAACGTTGTATATATAAAGTAGTTATATACTAGTTTCACAGACATTAAAAACAACCCAATGGTCTCGTTTTGATTGTTTAGCGTTTCGCGCTCGAGTTTAAAAAATGAATGAATAATTGTATACTTACAACTAGTATATTATAATATTTTATACTCGAATCCTTTTATTCTCCTTCTGTCGAAACCGATGAAAAAAACATTTCATAAATGGCTTTTGTTCTTTTATTTCTATGTAGGTACATGACTTGCTATGACAGCCAACCGCGACACCGGCGTTACGGTGGAGAGTGGTAAAAATATGATGGGGTTCGACCCCTCCCCTTCGATCGATGAAATTCTTGCACTATCTGTAAAATAGTTCCCTTGTGTGCAGAGTTATTCCTCGATAAAAAAATTTTATATGTTTTATATAAAATAAAATAAGTACGAGTTTTTTTTCAATTTTTTGATTTCTGATAGATCAATGAAAATCTTCAACGACTCCACTTTATTCTGTTGTCAGTAATCACTACAGATTGTCAAATATCTGTTAAAACGGTACCATCCGAGGCAGACTATCTGTCAGAAAATAAACTTAATTGTGTTATTAGAAAGTTTTTTATTGTCTGTAATTTCAAAAATTATATATATAATGCGAACGTCTATGTGCTCCGTGGCCTTGCTAATACAAAGCACCTGGTTGTTTTCCGAAAGTCCTTCGAGTCGATCCTGTGGAATCTTCGACTGTGGGCTGGGGACGTTGGTCGGTCCCTGCGCTACTGCAGGGTCCACTAGGCCATTGGAGTAGTATTGATTTTTCAATCAACGCAATCCAGGATCCGTTTCTATTGAAATCTCTCGTAGCTATCTTTGACAGGCTGGAGCAGTAGGAGTTGACCTATCCGTGGTCGATAGGCGTCGTGCAAGTTTCACCACATATCCTGCTAACAAGTTAAGTGGTGCTCCCCGGAGTATAGCCGGAAAACCCAACTAAATACCGTTATACTCGTGCTGGTGTTGGGCAACTCAACAAGTGTCACCTCCACAGAACCTTACACAATCAAATGCGGTACATTTATCAATCAGCGATCAACAACTAAATATATTCCATTGGCATTGCTTGTCTGTGTATTATATAACCAATGATTGTGATAGTAATATAAGATTATATTTTTTTTTTTTGAGGGGGGAAGGGAAAGGGTATTTTTGTTAAAAAAAATTGAGTGACTAATTAAGTACTTAATACTAGTTGTACTTAATATTCTATGCTTGAATCGTTTTATTCTTTTCCCGTCGGAACCGATTAAAAAAAACATTTCATATAAAATGACTTTTGTTCTGTTATATATAATATATTCATGACTTGCCATGACAGCCGACAGTGACACCACCG